TGCTCATGGAGTAAATTGTTTTATCCTACACGGTTTGGTGCTTGATAGAATCCTTTCTTGTTATCTTCCATTTCTTATGTGTTTGGAGGTAGAAAAATAATTTCTCACTGAACTTTCACTCCTCAGTCTGCCAGAACTCAATGGTGCCCTTGAGAAAGTTACTCAACCATTCTGGACCTCATTCTCCCCATTTTACAAATAAAACCAACCAACCAACAACAACAAAAAACCCATTGCCATAGAGTCAATTCCGACTCATAGCAACCCTAGAAGGCAGAGCAGAACTGCCCCATAGGGATTTCCAAGGAGCAGGTGGTGGATTCAAACTGCTGACCTTTTGGTTAGCAGCTGAAAGATTAACCATTGTGCCACCAGGGCTCCATTTTACAAATAAGAAGCTAAAAGATATTCAAGTCCTCCCAAGGTTTCATATTCTAAAAGATAATAAGCAGTTTGTTAGCAGGGTCCATATCCAATAATGACAATGACAGTTCCCATTCATGAGTGCCCTCTAGACCCTTTAACTACATTGTTTCCAGTCCTCTCAATGATCCAATAAGGGAGTTATTATATTTTTTACTTTATTATTATTATTTTATTTTTATTTCTACATGTACAATTCAGTGACACTGATTACATTCTTCAAGTTGTGAAACCATTCTCAACCTCCTTTTCCGAATTGTTCCTCCCCTGTTAACATAAACTCACTGCCCCTGAGCTTTCTATTCCGAAATTGTTGTCAATTTGATCCTATAGAGATGGTTCTTTAAAAGAGCATAATGCTCAAGGCAGACATTCTTTACTAATTAAGCTGAACTACTGTTTGGTTTAAAGAAGACTTTAGGGGGTATTTTTGGTTTAGGATTAGGTTTAGGATGATCTCGGGGCAATGTTTCAGAGGCTCATTCGCAATTAGCCACACATTCTATTTCCTCCTCTTATTCCTGACTCTCCTTCTTTCTCTGTTGCAACAGGCGAATAGAGACCAATTGTTGTGCCTTGGATGGACATTTGAAGATTTGAAGACCCAGATGCTACACAATGAACTAGGAGGTAGAACAGAAGCACTAAACCTGATATTAGGCTAATTAATTGTCCCATGAAACCAAGACCCTAAAGCTCCAAACCAAGAAACCAAATCCCTTGAGATGTTTGGTTGTATATAAGCAGCCTCAACATCTACTCTTTTCGTTGTTGTTGTAAAAATATATATTACACAGCGTTTGTCAACTTTTTACAGATGTACAACTTATTGACATCAACTACATTAATGGACTGTGCGGCAATTACCCTTAGTCAATGAGAATTTTCTGTCACCATAGCAGAAACTCAGTGCTCCATAAGCAGTAACTCCCCTTTCCCCACTCCCTCCCTTCCCTGGTAACCACTGTTTCAGTTATCTAGTTCTTCTACAACAGAAATAACAGAAGTGGATGGCTTTAACAAAGAGAAATCCTCTCTCTCACAGTCCAGGAGACAAACCCAAGGGTGCCAGCTCCAGGGGAAGGCTTTCTATCTCTGTTGGCTCTGGGGGAAGATCCCCGCCATTAATCCTTCCCTGGTCTAGGAGCTTCTCAGAGCAGGAATCCGGAGTCCAAAGGATGCGTTCTGTTCCCAGCACTGCTTTCTTGGTGGTATGAAGTCCCTCTGTCTCTCTGCTCCTTTCTCTCTTTTATATCTCAAAAGAGATTGACTCAAGATACAACCTAATCTTATAGATTGAGTTCTGCCTCATTAATAAAACTGCCTCTAATCCTGCCTCATTAAGATCATAGAGGTAGGATTTGCAACATATAGGAAAATCACATCAAATGACAAAATGGTAGACAATCACACAATATTGGGAATCATGGCCTAGCCAAGTTGACACAGTTTTGGGAGACATGATTTAATCCAGAACAACCACTAAAAAACTTTGCCCTGTATACATTTCCCTATTCTTGCTTCTTTATATAAGTGGGGTCATACAATATTTGTCCTTTTGTGATTGATTTATTTCGCTCAGCAAAATGTCTTCAGGCTCCGTCCATGTTGTAGCATGTTAAGGGAGGTACTATTATCCCCATTTTATAGATGAGGGAAACAATACTCAGAACTGTTGGGACCACTTGTCTAAGTGACTCTGCTGGAGAGACAGCGCTGAGATTCTAAAGTGTCTCACTTCAAAGTCTGTGTTCCTTTCTTCCTTCTGTACTGTATCTTATATTTGTTTTATATCACTCATGGCCATGGATGACAGAACTGAGCACATGATACTGGCTCAATAAGTGATCTAAAGTGAACTTTGAATTGATTTTGGAGAGTGCAATACCACTAGCTGTAATCTCTAAACTCATGTCCCCCATGCCTTATGGTGCCCAGAAAACAAAGTGCCTGTCAGTTAACAAGACTCATTCTCTTTGGGTAGAAATTGAGGTTACAAATAATGAAGATCATTTTCCTTGTACATTGTTTCCATCATCATCACCATCAAAATCTTCTGTTGGTAGCTTGGAAGAAAGATAAAGAGAGAGGTGCTAGAAAAAGGGATATAGGAATATTTCATCCAATTTTCGAAAGAGTTACAGATAGCTTGAGAGAATCCAGTGCTGGACAAAGTAGCTCAGGAGCTGAGCCTCCCATGTTCAGGTATTAGAGCCAACTATATTCAGCAATCAAAGCTCACGTATCGCTCTACACCGATTGAAGCAAGGGTGGGAGATCCTGATCCTCTCCCAGTTCCTCTACCTATCCAATCTGTGACAGCCCCTGGGGGACAGGGGACTACAAAGACCCCTTAGAACTGCCTCGCCTAAAGGAACGGAATTTTACTCCTTGGGCTGACGTGTGGGGTTCTCTATAATCTGGCTCATGAGTCCAGTCTCACCCTCAACACACCCCATTGCAGACTGACAGACTGAACCTACCACACCAGCTTGATTACTTTTGTCCGGAGGGTCCCTTCTGAGAATTAAGTTGAGACCAAATGTATATAGAAGAGGGCATGGAAACAATCTGGAGTTTCTGAGGAGCTGAGAAATGGAATTAAAGCTATCAAAAAGGGAAAATTCATGGTCAAGAGTCTTCAACTACTCATTATCTGCAGGCCAAGTTCATTTTGTGTATGATAAACCAAATTCATTTCTAATACCTTAGTGAGTAATAACTCACACCACTGATAGGAGGCACGCAACAGTAGACACAGCCCTTGCATCTGCAGGGGCCCCTGAAAGAGTGCAAAGGAGAAGGGGAGAGGAGATAGGGGAAAGGTGCATTGCAGTTTCACTTTTGCAGTTTGGCTTGTTGCTGTTGTGGTGTTGTTAGATGCTGTTGAGTCGCTGTTGTGGTGTTGTTAGATGCCATTGAGTCGATTCTAACTCATGGTGACTCCATGTGTGCAGAGTCGAACTGTGCTCCAAAGGGTTTACAAGGCTGTGATCTCTCAGAAGCAGATTGTCAAGCCTGTCTTCCAAGGTGCCTCTGGGTGAGCTCGAACCACCAGTCTTTCTGCTAGTAGTCAAGCACTTAAACTTTTGCATCACCCAAGGACTCCACAATTTGGCTTAGGGGGTTTAATCTTGATTTTCTCCTACCTGCTAAATTAATCCTTCATTTTCTCCTGTATGACTTTCCACAGAGCAGAGAAAGGATTTATTCTAACACTTTAGATTTTAATTTCCCACCCTTTCACAGTACCTATGCAGAGAAGATCTCACAGATTTCAGAAAGGCTTTGCCAATGACAGCTGTAAGCTTTGCTCTCTTAGCGAGATTTTATCCCTCAGTAAACTTGGAGCACTTAAAATCTGATCTACTGTTAATCCCCCTGTGGAGTTCTCAACCAATTCAAAATTGTGTTGGTTAGAGGTATCGATGAAGAGCAATGGGGCGGGCATCAGGCATCCAAGGCCTTAACGTCTGTGAAATAAAGACAGGAGCCACTGAGTGTGCCCATCTCTAACACCTCCACTATCCGCCCCGGCGCACGTTTGGTAACTCTAAGTCTTTGTGGAGTTATGACTGGAGCTTTCTGTTTGATTTGCAACACCTCAGCAACCCACCATATGGACTGTTTGGCAGATAAAAGTTAAAATCAATGTTTTTTGGCATTTTAATTGTAAAATTTAATGACTCTCCCCTTTGATAATTGGAGCCCTGGTGGCACAGTGGTTAAGAGCTCAGGCTGCTAACCAAAAGGTCGGCAGTTCAAATCCACCAGTTGCTCCTTGGAAACCCTGCGGGGCAGTTCTACTCTGTCCTATAGGGTCGTTTTGATTCAGAATCAACTCGAGGGCAACGGGTTTGTTTTTTGTGGGATAATAAGGCCAGAGCTGAAAGTTGTAGTCTTAGAATCTTGGAGTGGTAAAGCTTCCAGGGATATTAAAATGATCTAGCTCAACACCTTTTTTTTTTTTTTTTTTTTCAGAAGAGGAAACAGGTCTAAAGAGGGCAGAAACTTACTCAGGTTATATAGTGCATTAGAGGTGAAGTCAGAACTAGAACTCAGGTCTTCCAGCTCCTAGCAGTAGTGCTCTCTCCTAACACCATATTTTTTTATGGGCAATGTCTAAGATGTTCTGTACCACATTTAGGGAGCACCACATGCAAATAGCTCCTTAAACCATACTTTTGATTGATGACGACAATGCTGTTAGTGCTGATTTGATTATGGGGGAAATACCCTACAGCTTTCCAAATGGCTAGGGTTAATGTTGAACAAACAAGAGAGTCAAAGCATTATTCCAGGTAAAAACTGAGTAGTCAATATGTACTCTTTAAATTCAAATAAAGAGAAGTAGGCTATGGAATTTCTTTGGGTAAAATATTAAGAAAACTGAACTGAAGCTTCTGTTTCTTTAATTTTTCTGTTTGATACAAAATTGCCTATTACCAGGAGGGATATTCACTGCAGTCCAGGGACCACAGTGATCTCTGAAGTATCCCTGGGTGGATGGCTGGCCTCTTAAAGTAAACAATTTTACAGTATGTCAAGTCTACATAGTTTGTGACTTTCAAATTCTTTTATAGTGTGGGTTCTCCAAGGTGGTGGTGGAAACTTCTGCATGGTAGTGACAGTGTGGTAATGGTGATGGTGGTCTTGATGACAGTGATGATGATGATACTGGCTGTGTTGGTGGTAGTAGAAGTGAAAATGGTGGAAGTGATAGTAGTGGTAGAGGTGATGATGATAGATGTATCGATGATGGTGGAGGTGATGGTAATGGCGATGGCGGTGATGTAGGTGGAGGTGCTGGTGGTGGTAGTGACAGTATGGTGGTAGTGCTGGTGGTTGCTGAAGTGGTGGTAATGGTGTTAGTTTTGGAGGTAGTGATGATAGTGGTGGCAGTGAAGGTGGTGGTGATGGTGGTGATAGTGATGAAAGATGTATCATTTGCACTCACCTTTAGGGATAGACAGAAATGTCAACCAGCAGAGATTTGTGGGAATGAAATTTCCAAGCTGAGGAAGCAGCATGAACAAAGGCATTTTGTTGTAACTGGGGTCAATGAGTTTCCTTGACTGACTGGAATGTGGTGTGACTGGTGAGGGTAATGGAGCGGGGGAGCATAACACCAGAAAGGGATATTGAGGTCACCTGGTAAAACTTTGTATGTTGGACAGGCATTTTAAACAGATTTTTGCCCAGGAGGGGGAGCACTTGAGGATTTAGAAGGGGCATGGCATGGTCAGACCAGTGTTTTCAGGGGCCTGTGGAGTGTTGAATTTGGGATGGGCATATTACTGGCAAGGAGACAACTACAATCATTCAAATGGAAAATGATGAGGAACTGACCCAGGGCAGTAGCCCTTATGATAGAGAAGGGAGAGTAGAGATGAGAGTCATTTGTGGATAGATAGAACTTGACAACGAACTGGGTGTGGGGGTAGGAGAGTGGTGTTCTGTGCAATAATCAGCTGCTTGAGGGCAAGGGCAGTCTATGGTACTACTTGGCCTCTCCATGGGGTCTGGTACTGTGCTTAGTACATGGTCGGTGTTTTGAAAATGTTTGGGGTCTGTTTAACTGCTTTGAGTTCATAACCCAGGGATTGCCTGTAGAGATAAAATGTGTGACTAATGCTTTATAAACTATATAACCAATTGTTGTTGTGTCGACTTTGACTCATGGCGACCCCATGTGTGTTAGAGCAGCACTGTGATCCATAGGGTTTTCAGTGGCTGATTTTCTTGAAAGTAGACCATCAGGCCTTTCTTCTGAGGCACCTCTGGTGGACTCGAACCTCTAACCTTTCAGTTAGCAGTTGAGGGCATTCATCATTTGCACTATAGAATTCTACAATTATGTGGGGGTTGTTTATCATCACGCATGCATTGCTGCAAAACTGTATCAGTTGGGGCCTCATTGCTCCATCTTATGTGGTCTATGGTGTACATTCCAGAACCTTCAAACTTCTTTTTGCAGATGACCTTGGCTCCCACTTCACTGAGAATGTCAAGAGCTCCCAACATGGATGCCTCAATTTCTCTCTGACCTTTGCACATTTTATCATTCTTCTCCCTGTTTCAGAGGAAGATAGTGTTTGCCTCTGCTCCATGGTCTAACCCTCCACTTGGGCTCAAAGGCCCATTCCATCAGACTTCCTTCAAGACTTGGCTCTATCAGTCAACCCCTCTTTCTCTTGCATCACCCTATATTTCCATTCTCTCAATGTATTCAAATCTCTTGCATCTTGAAAAATAACGTTCCTTTAGCATGTTACCTCATAAGGTTAAAACTTATCTTTTTCTCCTTCTCTTTACCACATTTATTTTTGAAAGAATAACCCAACTTCTCCACTTCTACTTCGATGCTCATTTGTAGTGGGAAGAATGGAAGCAGGTGACTTCTGACCACAATAAAACAGCCAGTTAATTCTTCATGGTGTGATGAATGTGGGTAAGTAATGAAAGGGAGGTGGTGCTTCAGAGTCTTTTGTTTGGAGTAGGAACAAAATATCAAAACATGTTTGAGAACCAGGATACTAGATGAAATAACGTGGTAACTTTTCTTTGATCCTTTCCCAAGCTGGGTTTTCAGCAATGCCGTTGCTTCATTGATTTTTTCCTTACTGTAGGTGATGAAACTATTTCTGTTCTGTGCAGTATGTGAGTATTTGGAAACTTGAGTTAAACATCCTCTCACCTGATAAATAGCACACTCAGGACTAGTGCCAACCTGGTGCTTTTAAAATAAATGACAAAAACCATGCAGCTCAATATGTTTTAAGCACTGACATTGCTTTTAAGCAATGACAGTGACAGATCATCACACAGGGGCAAGAGTCAGGGCTGTTGGGGGCTAAGCCAGTCTCAATGTACCCTTCTCACCCCCAGTCTTGGGATGAGCACCTGACCACTGTCCATGGCTGGGAGGCCACCCCAAATGGAGGGGAGCTGTTACTCTCTAAAACTAAGAGGCAGATTTTGGGCCCTGCCTCTTTCTGTTGCTCAGCTGAGGCAAGAACAAGTTGTTCCTCTCCTCTCTAGGGATCTGCATCAAGGTGAAGTCAAATGGGACATTGGGTCCCCGAATCTTTGCCAGTTCCTGGATGCACTCAAATTTTCATCAGGTGTGCCTGGTGGTGTTACACATCTAGTGATATGTTGGTCACACCTGGCTCTCTAAAAAGATAAAGGTCTATTTTATAGTGTTCTGTGGTGTACATACTTCCACCATGGCCAGTTTGGAAGAAGATGTGGATAACTGTCTCTTGCAAGCTGGCTTCAGCACATCACTGAATATGCCACATATTCTGTTATAAAAGTAATACGTATATCATTGTTGTTAGCTACCGTGGAGTTGGTTCCCGACTCATAGTGACCCCATGCACAATGGAACCAAATACTGCCCTGTCCTGTGCCATCCATGATTGGAATGTTGTGATTCATAGGGTTTTCACTGGCTGATTTTTGGAAGTAGATCACGAGGCCTACCTAATCCATCTTAGTCTGAAAGCTCTGCTGAAACCTGTTCAGCATCATAGCAACACTCAAATCTCCACTGACAGATGGGTAGTGACTGCACATGAGGTGCATTGGTCAGGAATAGAACTTGGGTTTCTGGCATGGAAAGAGAGAATTCTACCACTGAACTATCACTGCCCTCCATTTACCATAGAAAAATATTATTAAATCATAGAAATGCAGAGCAGAATGCAGAGAGAAAAAAATACTAGGAGCTTCACCATCAAAAAAAAAAAAAAGACTTAATAATTTGTATATTCCATTTTCGAAAAAGAAAAAAAATTCTAATAGAATTGCCATTGCCCATTGCCATCAGTCAATTCTGACTGATAGTGACCCTATAGGACAGAGTAGAACTGCCCCATAGGGTTTCCAAGGCTGTAAATCTTTACAGAAGCAGACTGCCGCATCTTTCTCCCGTGGAGGGTTTGGTGGGTTTGAATCAATGATCAACCTTTTGGTTAGCAGCCAAGCACTTAACCGCTGTGCTACTAGGGCTCCTTAGCCATTTTAGCAGCTGCATAATATTGTAGTGCACAAACCACAATGTTCACAAAACCACATTCATTGCTGTTGAGTCAATTCCAACTCATAGCAATCCTATATGACAGAGTAGAGCTGCTCCATAGGGTTTCCAAGGAGTGGCTGGTGGATTCAATCTGCTAACCTTCTGGTTAGCAGCCAACTGCTTAACCACTGTGCCACAAGAGCCCCACAATGTCCACATCATGGCACATTAAGGTTGGTTCCAATTTTTCATCAAAAAATGATTTTGTTTTCCTTAATAAACATCCTCAAATCTCCTAGAGATGTTTTTGAGGGAGCCTGAGGCCGCAGTTGTCCTATGGGAATCACCAAGGGAAACCTCAGAGCAGCTACCTCAATAACGGCCAAACCTTGGAGACCACAGGCGAGAAAGTGAACCACTCTCATGTGCTAAGAGACTTCCAGGCTTGGTCCATGAGACATTTCCCTGTCAACTTTGGTCACCACCACAAATCCAGGTCACTCTAGGATTTCATCCCATCAGCTAATTGAGTCCCTCTCACTTTCCTCTAAGACTACCCTACTCTGCCTTTGAACTCCTGCTTTGTGGCATGTTAACTTCCCTCTATCTTCAAAGTTTTCAGGAGTGTTCCTTCTACCCCTATCCTTAACAGAACCCTGGCAGGCCCCTGTACTCCTCTCAAATAAAGTCTCCCCCCCCAACCCTCAGGTCTCTCACATTCACTCTCCTAAGAACCAGGAGGTGGGGCAAGGGTTCTCCTTGCTCCTTATTGTCCCATCCAGGCCACTGTCCCTTCCATCCTATCAAATACCATCTATGATCATTAAAGTTGTGTGTAAACTTGGCTGGGCCATGATTCTCAGTGGTTTGGCATTTATGACGCATTTTGGCAGTTGTATAATGTTGTCAACACTTCCATGATGAAATTTGATATAATGTGATCACCTCCATGATAGGATCTGCTGTGAGTAGCCAATCAGTCGAAAGGGAATTTCCTTGGGAGTGTGGCCTGCATTCAATATAGGTGGACTTTCTGGCAAGTCTCGTGGGCTTTTGCTCAATCTGGATCCTGCAGCTGGCTCCTGGTCATCTGACCTCCGGTTCTTGGGACTTGAGTTATCAGCTTATCTGCCATCTTGCCTGCTGATCTTAGGATTCATTGGTCTTTGCAGCCTGTGAGCCAGGAGAAACCTCCAGTATGACCCATGGACTTGGGACTTCCCAGCCTCTACGACTGCATGAGCCATTTCCTTGACATAAATCTCGCTATATATATTTATACGCTTTACTGGTTTTGCTTCTCTAGAGAACCCAGCCTAAGACACCACCCATTTGAGGGTTATTTATGTAGCCACGTCACCTTCTTCCTTCATTGCTGCCACCCTCCAACCTCCTGGTCACTTCTCCCTAATCACTGAGTACCTTACCTCTGGCTGCAAGTCTTCTTCTCCAAACTAGCCACTGTCTCATTCCAGTGACTTCATTCTCCCTGAGAAAGACCACCAGTACTCTGGCATCTCAGTTTGTAGACTCCTCATCTCCAGTTAACTTCTCCTCTCCTCTATCTGTTATCTGCTCCCTGGCCATACCCTGGACCAGGCACTACTTTTGAAATGCTGATTTCAAATATCTCCTTCATAAATACCTTGTCCATACTCCCAGCTCACTTGTCCAAGTATCTTTACTTTCACAATTCTTTGTCTCAGTGGGAACCCAAACTGATTAGCCTGCGATTTTCTTCCTCTCCATCAGCCTCTTCGGCTTCACATCAGTATACTTTCTCCCAGATAGCACTCTCCTGGCACTGTGCACTTATTCTCAG